CCGCATCGGGCTCCCTGCTCGGCAGGGAGTCTGCTTCTCCCTCTGACCCTCCCCCCTCTCATGCTCTCTCTCTCATTCTCTCTCTCAAATTAAAAAAAAAAAAAGAACTGGCAAGAGAACATTAATAAAGGCTTTACTGGCAATCAAAATTATAATGCTAACATTCTGGCTCTTGGGCTTCCTCTTAGATCACCACAGACTGTATCATCTTGGGAAATATTTAAAATTGACTAATAATAGAGCAGCCTTTGAAAAAAAGGAAAAGGAGGGCAGGAACTGAAACTTTCACAGAGAAGCTGGCTACAAATTGTCTAGAGGGTATTGTCTGGAAACTAAAATTACCAAAATGAACACTTAAGTCTTTCTTCTAATTTAATTCACAGCTTAGCTTTTATTTCCCTTTGCTATAGTTTAGTTGCAATTCTTTCATTGTACATTAGAATTTCAAATTATTCTGTGGTACATAAATAAAATACTGATAGCATATATAACTACCAAAGGCTAAGGATGTACTACATTAATTCTAATATCATTCCAAAACTACCGATTTTCCATCCTATAAATAACCAACTACTTGAAACAAAAACAGTAAAGAATATTGTTTTATTCTAATTTATTTTTCTCTGAGCGGGGTAGAGTGAGAAATGTGTCAGGCTAGTAAAATCCTTGTAATTATTTATAAATTTGTATTACATTTCTTATAGATATACTTGAATATAATTACACTTCTATGTGAGAAACACCCAGGAACCAAACCCTCACTTAATTAGGCTGTATGTCCAGTAGGGTGAACTTTTCTAGAATTTAGGTAATATCTTGTTCACACCTGCAGCCCAAACATCCCAAGCTGGCCCATTATAGGTTAATAATTAATGATTACTGAATGAATCAGTTTATCAGTATATACTGCTTTATGGCTAAGCGGGTAAACTGGTTTTAATTACATCAAAAGCAAGTTAAAATAAAATATTCTAGAGCTCTACCTATCGTAAGTATATGTGTATATACACATTTTTTTTTCTTTCCTGCTTTCCTTATTTAGCACTCTTCTTCAATCTCTACTTTCCATAAGGTTCTCAGCTTATGAGGGTGGCTTCCGTATTACATTCTAAAAACAGACATTTTAATAATTCACTACATACTAATTTGCAGCACATGATGTTCCACAGCAGGGGGATGCTTTATAAATAATGTTAGCTCTCAAAGACAGATTGTCACATATAGAGTAATGTTGTCTCTAGAACAAACTTCAAAGCTTTTTTCAAGAGAAAAAAAACGATAAAGGCAATGAAATCAGCAATACTGCATTTAGAATGAATTACAAACATTTCAAATTTAAAACACTTGAAACACACTGTTAAATAAGTTTAATTTCTGAATATATTTTCTTTTCCACTTATATTCATTAAGTTAAATATACTCTAAATTATCTCACCTGGAGGTTGCTGAGGCCAAAAATACTGCTGCCAATCCTGAAGTACATACGTAAAGCGAATAGCAATACTAACTGGAGGCAAAGGAGTTAAAGGACATCCCTAGGAAATAAATGCAAAGACAATATCGTATAGCTTTAAAAAAAAGTGTTAAAAACAATGCCAGAGAGCAAATTACATGAACATGAAGCTGTTTCCTAACTGGAGGGGCACCTAGGTGGGTGAATGGTTAAGCCTCCAACTCTTGATTTCAGCTCAGGTCATAATCTCAGGATCCTGAGACTGAACCCCTTGTGTTGGGCCCCACATCTGGCCCATGTCAGATCTCTGGGTTCCCTGCTTGGCATGGAGGCTGCCTGTCCCTCTCCCTCTCCCACTGCCCCTCCCCCAGCTCGTGCTCACTCGCACTCTCACTCTAAAATAAATAAATCTTTTAAAAACAAACAAATAAATAAATAAACCTCTACCTGGAAACAAACTAAATGCTCCTTCAAAATATTTTTAACAATTTTTTTTTTTTTAAAGATTTTATTTATTTATTTGACAGAGAGAGAGATAGCGAGAGCAGGAACACAAGCAGGGGGAGTGGGAGAGCGAGAAG